CCCCGGACGGACACCACAGCCCATTGGGTCCCCCGCTCTCCCCCGCCCTCCCTGTACTCAACTTTGATTGTTATGTTGATTCGAATTTAGAGTTAAAGCTTTGAAAGCAGCAGTGGTGAGTTCTGCGGCTGCCGCTAGCGAGCAACCTAGCACTGCTTGACAACAGTTTGGTGTAGCCAGTAACTGTTACCGAACGTGTTCAGCAGCAGGATAACTATTCACCCAAGTTTTTCCAGAATTCGAACAATCCATTATAACGAACAATCCAACCAATCAGCGAACGAGAGTGAGAGCTGGTGGATCGATGTCCTAAAAGATTCCTGGGACGCGAACTGGGCACGCGTGTCCCAAACACGCGTGTGCTAAACACGATTGCCCGGTTCGTGTCCCAAACACGCGTGTGCTGAGCATTGTACTAATTTTGATTATTAGACAAACCATCTGTGGATTGTGTCTAGGAATCCGTTTTGGCACTTCACGCCTTCTCGTGGATTTTTCAAGGGTGTTTCCGGCATGGTATCCTGTCGACTGATGTCCTGTTGTCGACTGATGTCCTGTTGTCGACTGATCTCGCATTCCCAGAAGGTCTTGGGTTCCGGGTTTACAAGTCTTTGACCTTTAGTCAGCAGAGCTCGGTCGGTAACATATACCAAGCCATTCTGCTGCATACCTCTCCGCTCTTCGGGAGATCGTGCTACCTGATGCTGGGGAGCCATGGGTGCAAAGCCAGGGTAATTGTGCGGCGTCGCGGCACCAAAGGGTAGTCCGGCTCCCCCATACGTCATTTCACCAAAAGCGTTGTGCCGCGGTAACACTCCAGTCGCGCCCAACGCATTCACCATGCCACCATTAGGCATGCCATTACGGATGCCGTTGCGCATGCCACCATTAGGCATACCGCCGCTATATCCGAATACGCCGCCACTCGTGATCCGTTCCGTCGTGAAACGTTCGCTGGGAACCATGCCTCCGTTGGCCCCCAGACCTCCGTTGGCGCAGAGCAGCACTCCTCCGTTCGCCGATAACACTCCTCCTCCATTCGTTACAACGCTGCCCGACGGCGATGAACCTCCCGAGGTGTAACTTGGTCTTAATACACCTTGCATGGCTCCACCTTGCATTGTTCCACCTTGCATGGCTCCACCTTGCATTGTTCCACCTTGCATGGCTCCACCTTGCATTGTTCCACCTTGCATACCTCCACCTGCATCCTGTAAGACTCCAGTCCCCGCTTGTGTCAGTCCAGCCCCGCTTTGGGCGGTAAACGCAGCCGGTTTCGAAGAGCTGACGGAAGTGCTTCGTACGGGCGGCGGTGGGTCTTGACTAAAGAGGCCAAAGGTGCCGCCGTAGGCAGCGGAGAGGGCAGCGCTAGGCGAGACTCCATGTGCCTCGCCAGCAGAGGCGGCGCTGGGAGAGTTGCTCATGGAAGCGCTAAGTGAGGCGTTGTAAGGACTGCCCACAGAGAAGAGCTGGCCGGCCGCAGAGGGTGAGCCGACCGCGGCCTGGGGAGTCATGTTGACTGAGGGCAGTCTGAGGGGCGTTTCGTTGGTCAGCATGGAGGGGCTGCCGACTACACCGCTGCCGACTACACCGCTGCCGACTACACCGCTGCCGACTACGCCGCTGCCCACTACACCAGTGCCGGCCTCTCGAGATAGGACAATGGCCGTGGGCAACATGGGACCGCTACCGGACAGAGGTGAAAGAGCGGTGGTCGAGGACAGCCCGGTCGGCGTCGCAGAAAGGGCGGGTGTGGATGATAGTGCCTGGGTCGTAGAGAGAAATCCCGGTCTAGAATATTTGTCGTGCCTGCTCAGAGGCGAACCCACAACTTGGGGAGCCTGCCGGTAGTTCACAGGCGACCCCGGAAGGGGTCCCGATAGGGACCCTGGAAGGGATCCTGGAAGGGACCCGGAAAGGGACGAGCCAGGGAGAGAAGCCCCGGGAAGGGAAGTTCCGGGATGAGAAGACCCGGGAAGGGGCGACCCGGGAAGGGGCAGAGGAGTGCCCGTGGGGGGGTGCAGCGAGCCCGGTGTATAAGTAGATGCCTGGTAGCTAGAGGGTGGGTAAGGAGAGGGTGGGTAGTTAGATGATTGATAGCTAGAGGGCTGGTAATTGGAAGGTGGGTAGTTCGATTGATAGTGTGAGCTGGAAGGCGAGCCGGCAGTGTATGGCAAGTGCTCTTGTACAAGTTGGGCGATGACTTTTTGACTCGTCAATGACCGGTTGTCTTCATCGTTCAGAGGCACAATAGCCGGCGGCCAGACCTCATAGTCTTCGTCTTCCGCCCCGACTGAGTCGTCGTCCGCTTCCGCAAAAGGCGGCAACGAAGAGCTATACAACCAACTAAGCGGCTCCGAGCTCAAAACACGCGACGAAACTACCTGGGACGAAACCACCTTGCTTGCCAGCACTCTCGGGTAGCTTCTCATTTAAAAATTGGATGCACTGGTCAGTAACCAAAGACCCGTGCCACTCCAAATACCTCTACGTCTGTCAAGACACCCAGCTAGCGATTTATCGTATCAATGAACGTGCAGAAACCCCACGACGAGATGAAGAAACCGAGTTCTCCCGTGATGAAGACCACGACGAAAATGAAGACCACGACGAAAATAAAGGCAAATGGATCGAGGTGAAAAATAGCATCGAACCCACAGGCGCTACAGTGGGAGAAAACGACGGTCGGCGACATACCAAGGCGATCCGGAGATCGGTCATTGCTTTGGACGTGTGTAACTCAGAGGACTGGTTGATTACTTGTTCTTTTGATGGTAAGGGTATTTTGTGGACTCGACCAACGACAGGGTCAACCCCCTTCTCATGGCGATATAAGGCCGAATTTGATGGACAAGGAGCGGAGATGAAGGCTGTTGCCATATATAAACCGTCTCAGGGGCTCGTGCAACCTCAAGGGGGGGATGATTTGCCCCTAGTTGCGGCCTGTTGTCGAGATAAAACTTTATGGGTCTTCACGTATGACGCCGACCAGAACGAATTTACCTGCCAGAGCTTGCTGTCCAAACACACCCAGGACATCAAATACGTTACGTTCCACCCCTACCTGCCACTCCTGGTCTCGGCAAGTTACGATGATAAAGTCATTCTGTATAAATATGACCCCTATGAGGATACCTGGCAAGACTTCAAACAAATGCGGGATCACAGCTCCACCGTGTGGATGGTCACGTTCAGCCTAGACGGCACCCGTATGTACACTACCGGTGCTGACGGCTGCCTCTGCGTGTATCACAGCGCCCAGCTTGCCACACAAAGGAAGAAAATCACACACTACGGGCTGGGTCTTCTCAACAAACGCCTGGTAAGACACACACTGTGTGGGGCCCAAGCGCGCTGGGTCAAAGCGCGCTGGGGGTCAACACCACATCACCCAATGGGTTCACCCAATGGGTTCATCAAACGCGGCGGTGCTTAGATCACAACCATTCCCGACGATTGGCGTTTGGTCGATGAATTCAACGTGGCTGAACTGCAACCTACACTGCCGCTGAACATGAATGTCAACCTCTACACGGTCGCCTTGCGGGCTCGCAAGGTGCTACTAGCCAGCAGTCTCGGAAGCATCTATGTCAAAGAGGACGACGGCTCTTGGTCGATGGTGGAGGCTGCCCACGACCGTTGCGAAGTGAATTGCGCCATCTGGCTCGACGCCCACTCATTCGTCAGCGTAGGAGACGACGACGTTGTCCGACTGTGGACAAGCCACTGAACTTCTCGTAACTGACGAACGAGTCAAGGAGCGTAATCGAAAGAACGATGAATCACAACCGACCGACCATACCCGAAGGAGTACTGCGCTTGGAGACTGCCTTACTTCTCGAGGCCTTCCTCTTCGTCTTCAGGCGTTCCTGTTCGGCTCCTCCGTCAGCGCTTCGTACGCGAGCGCTTCATACGCGAGCGCTTCCTCCGGACTCTTCTTGCCGGACTCAGGCGCTTTTTTTCTGTTATTCGTGGCGCATACTGGCGTGTGGCAAGACGAACGGATTACTGGAAGACGACACTGTATGCATCGACCGGCAACACATCTAGCCAGTCGCAGGGGGAGAAGAGGCAGGAGGAATATGTTTCTCGACTTCCTGTAGCCAGAACCTCATGAACTTCAGTTTGGCTTGAATCGCCTCGACTAGTTGTTCGGCGAGAGGCCGAATCCAGTGGCCGTCAGGGTTATAGGCGAAGCAATTGTTATGAATGAGCTGAATGTCGTGTTCGAACTCTGTCACATTCCGATACTGAAGAGATATTGTGTTACTACCTGTCAATTACTACCCATCAATTACTACCCGTCAATTACGACCAAGTGT